ACCTAAATTATATCAAAGTACTGCCACGAAAATAAATTCTTATTAAAAAATCACAAAGCTTGCTACAAACCTAAATAACAACTAAAAATAACTGCATTAATCTACCTCATATATCTCTAGGCTAACTAATAAATTACTCACATACACATTGTAAAATACTTCATAATATTATACACATTTTTATATCAATTTTAATTTTTTAATACATAAATAATACACATTATCACATAAACAATTATTTTAAACAACATTAAACATAACTATTTCACAACTATCAGCTAACTAAAAACAAATGAATAATATTATTAACTTAACTACAAACCAATTTCCATCCTGTAGCAATCCATAATACAAATATAAACCATAACGTCCACTAAACAAATCGTAGAAAAATTAAACTTTTACTACTTGCCTGTTGATTGTGGTAACACATGAAACTCAGAGTTGCAGTATTTAACTATATTATAAACATTAGCATTTAGCTAATTCCTTGAAAACTGCGGATAACAGTAACATATGCACTATATAGTTCTAATTTATCTATTGAGCACTAGTTTAAGTATACAATATAATACATGATAATATAAAGATCTTTTTCTTTATTCATATATATACACTTACTTATATATATATATATATATATATATATATATATATATATATATATATATATATATATATATATATATATATATATATATATATATATATATATATATATATATATATATATATATATATATATATATATATATATATATATATATATATATATATATATATACATATTCTTATTTGTTTCAGATAAAATCTTCAGATGATGGTCTTAGCTATGAGATTTGTATGAAAGCATTTTTATCAAATCATAGTATTTCTCATCCTTGACTGAGACATATTCAAAATTGTATTACAAGTACAGAATTAGCTCCAAAAGATAAAAAAAAAGGAAAACATAAAAATTGGCCTCATTTTGTACCTGATCAAATAATACAGCTTCATTTTTAAATACAATCCTTAAAAAGCCGTCAAACCCATTATTTTTTCAAAAAAAAAAAAAAAATGTAAAATACCTTTCAGATACATTAGGCATTAAAAAAATGCACGAAATCTTCTTACAACTTTACAAAATCCAATTGAAATATGATTTACACTACAGGTCTTTTAGACCTCTTCACAACAATACATGTTCATACTGTGATTCTGTTAAAACAAAATTTCAAGTTTTGGATTTTCCTGAAGAATACAAACAAAAACTGGAGATAGAACATGCTTTATTTGGCAAGAGCCAAAGAGTTTACAAATAAAAAGTGTTGTTTAAAATTACTAACAATCTCTTCTACTAATATTACTGTCATATTATTCGACTTCATGCAAATTTGCCTTTGCCAAATATGGTTATAAATGCTATTCTATTCAGTTATATTCTAGGCAGTTATACTACTATATATTTGGGATACATGATTTAGCCCAAAATAATGTTTTCACGTATTCTTATTATGAAAGGGTGGCAAAACGTGGGCAAAATGATGTGACATCAGTGTTGCTCCACTGGTTAAACAAAAATTTGCCAGATATTACAATAACCCTGTACATTTTGAGTGATGGGTGTTCTAGACAAAATAAAACATTTGTCATGATTTGGTTTTGGTATATGGTAGTACATACGCTTAAAAAAATTGATCAGAAAAACAATCATGGCAGATATCCCTGAAGGTTGTCTTGGAGGTAAGAAAAACACCAAAACCTTTCATTCTTAAAAAGCCAATACATGACTTTTTTAATATAGAATACATGCTTAAGCCCTAAAAAAAATTTAAACTTTAAAATTAAAAGCCCTAAAAAAAATTTAAACTTTAAAATTTAAACTTTAAAAGTCTTTCTGTTTTGTTTTGTCAAGAATAACTAAAACAGACAAAGATAATGTTGGTGAAGTTATAGCTAAACATATAGTTTCTTTGGATCTTGGGAAAGATTTAAAATGCTCAAAAAACAGAATACCTACAACGATTTCTTACAAACTGTTTTATAATAAATTTGATTCCAGTAAAAGGGGCTAAAAATAGGAATGTTATAAAAATCTTCAAAATGCCAACTTTTATTAAAATTTGCCTTGAGACAGTGATATGGTAAAAGCTGATTTAGAAAATAGCCAGGGATTAACTGACACAAAATAAAATTCGTATTTAAATAATATAATATTTTAGCTATAATATTTCAGTTTCTTTATAATATTTTTTATTTTATGCTTTGTATCTTTTAATTATTTTTATTAATAATTTTTTTATGTTTTGTTACTTATGAGTTAAAAATATTCATAAAATACACCTGTTTTTCTTCCACTTTATAAACTACAAGAAAAATAAAAGAAAACAAAAATTATTTTGTTTTTATTTCTCCTTTTATATTCAAATTTTTCTATATTTTGAAGCCGAAACAGAAAAAGTTCAAACCTTTTGGAAAAACATCAAATCTCACATTGACTTTTTAATCAATATTTAGTTATGCATATTTAATTAATAATATTGGTTAAACTTATTCAAGTGTGCAAAATGTGGTTCTATGATTTGACATAAAACCACATTTAAAAGATATTAGTATATACTAGCCATAATATTCAGTTTAAATGCTCTCCTGAAAAAAAAATTGTTTGTGATACTTGAATTCATTCTAAGGTCTTCAATATCACAAGAACATCCAAAATTCGTCTCCATTGAATTAATAAATAGTATGATTTCTGATGTACATGCAGTCTGAGCAGTGTCAGATAAAATGGCTGTACGTGGTATATCAGAGATGTACAGGAGTGCAGATACTTCGTCTGACACTAACAAAGTGCTACTTGACATTTTGAAAACGCAACAAATAACTTTATGTCTTTTGTAGCATTTTAAAAATATTTTAGAATACATTCAAGCATTTCAGCAAGTTATTAGTGATTTTGTGTTGAATTTTTGTAATTGTTTGAGTTTTGTTAATGTTGTAAAATGCAATACTCTTTTTCTTCTGACAAAACCTCTCTAGTATATATTATGCTGAGTTCCATCTGGTGGAGATATTTTGAACCAGGGCTGTGGAGTCGGAGTTGCAACATTTTTAGCGGAGTTGGAGTCGTTGAACGAAATCGCGACTCCGACTCCAATAGTAAAACTTCTCGGTGTTGCATGTGCATGTACAAAACATTCAATTAACCTTATATTCATACTAAACCGTAAAGAATGTTTCATAAATTTGTCAAAAAAAATTTTTATTGCGTAATACTTTTTAAAGGATTCAAAGAGTTGTAGTCTGAGTCTGAGTTGGAGTTGTACTCAAAAAATTTCAACAACTGGAGTCGGAGTCGTAGTCGTTACTTTTTTTTTTACAGCTCCACACCCCTGTTTTGAACTGTTGTACTTTAGTTAATTTTAGTTAAGCTTCAATTTCCTTCAGTTTTGTTACAGCACTGGATGAATGGAGAAAATGTCCTGCTCAAAAAAATAGTAGTTATGTCACTTACTGATCTTTGTTCTCTGAAGATCTTCTTCTAAATATGATATTGTAAAGTATGCATGACACATGGCAGGACTTTATCTTCCAAATGTGAATTTTTAATGACATTTAAAACAACTGCATCAAATCTAGAAGTTAATTTGTAATATGAATAAATTGTATGCTGGCATGTCCAACTATCTCTAGTTAAACTGAGAAAACCTGTTTTATCTAACTCAAAGATCATTTATTCATTCATAGACAAGATTCACGATAACTTTGAAGAAATGTATAAAATTAGCAAAGAAAAGTATATCTAAATAACAAAAATATTTGGATCCAAGTTATAAGAACACACTTTTTTTCAACAAAATAAGCTAATTATCTTTAAAATGTTGTTACATGGCTCAATGATTATTAGAGAAAGTCTTCAAATGAAAAATTATCAAATGAAATTTCTAAATATAGTTACTCACAAAGTTAAGTTTGTTTAAATACTTTAAAATTAAAAAAAATTTCTCTAAGAAACACACCAATATCTAAAGTTATGCAAAAATAAAAAATAAATAAAAACTAAACTCACACAATTCCTAAAACTGAGTTTTAGGATATTAAAGTCAATTGTGCAACAAATTTACTCTTTAGCATGATGGAAAGCAAAAAAAATTTGAATCAGTTCTTAAAACTTAGAAGTGTTTATATATCATATCTATCTACAGTTGCTCTATTATTTTTTTATATCAAGTCAAGTCAAATTCTCTGCAAAGAAGTTGGTTAGCTCCAGAATTAGGAGAAATGCTCATTTTTTTTTACATAAAAATTTGGACATTCATAATTTCAAAGATAAAAAATTATTTTCTTACATGCAACTAATATTATCTTTGCAATCTAAAATTTTGGTATTCTATTTTTTTTTTATTTTGAGAAAATATATTTCATGTTACATGTTGAGGAAATGTATTTCATGTTACATGTTGAGGAAATATATTTCATGTTACAAAGGATTTTTGCTTTTTTTAAAAAAAATTTTAAAGTAAATTGTTTAAAAAAATTTCTTTTTAAAATTTAAACAAAAAAAATTTATTTTCAAGTTTCATTTTTTAAAAATTTATATACCTCCCCATTGCTCCACTACAGTCAATGAGGCTACTTGACATTTTTTATTTTGACCTATTTCAACCTTAAATAACATGGCTGCTGCACAGAGAGACAGATTTTGCATGGTACTCTTAGATTTCTATAAGCATTGGGTTGATTTGAATTATGAATCTCTTGATTAATTGCTAAGTGTTCTGCCACTACTTCCCCATGAACTTGTTTTACATAATATTACTATTGTATGCCTTAAAATTGTATAATTTAAATTTATATTTTTAAACATGTTGATATTTAACTAATCAACTCATACCAACATCAAGTTTTTTTCACACTCACATAATCTAATTAAAGTCAGTTTTTCCACACTCACATATTCTAACTATAATCTAGTTTTTCAGACACAAAAATATAAAATCTTCTGAAATTAAACATAC